AAAAAAAAACGGACATACAATCAGCAGAAAACTGTAAAGGATTCTCAGAGACTACACGCCAAATATCTGATTCAAAAGGTAAAGATCTTTCAAATAAAGAATTTTTTAAATGACTAGCTGGTATTATAGACGGTGACGGTAACTTTGATATTAGAAATATTAATTCTAAGATGGTTTTAAAAACTATTAGAATTAAATTGCATAACAGAGATATCAGAATATTGAGTTACATTCAAAATATGTTACATATAGGTAGAATTAGATCTGATAAGAATAAACCACACTCTCTCTGAATCATTAGTAAGAAAGAGGAAATGTTATTCTTAATTAATAATATTAATGGTTTAATTAGACTAAAAGTAATAGGATTAAAAAAATCTTGCGATTATTTATCCCTAGATTATAAAGAAGCAAATTACAACATTGAAGCTAACGATCCTTATTTAGCAGGTTTAGTTGACACAGATGGTACTATTGTATATAACTATGCTGGAAATAGAATAGAATGTAACTTGGAATTTGAAAATAACGAGTTTACTACTAAACTAAATTTAGATAATGTCATACCGAATTATAAACCCGCTGTTTCACTTAGAAAATCTCATAACTCTATAACATATAAATACCAAAACGTAAAAGGTATGGTATTCTTATACGAATATTTCATGAAAAATAGATTATATTCCGATTTTAAATTCTATAGAATATCAAAAATTAAAAAGTTTATTGAAATAAGAGAATTCAAAAATGAACCTAAAGAAAGCTTAGAATTTAAAATATATTCTGAATTTATATTGGATTGAATTCAATATAAGAATCCTTTATGACAAAGAGTACCTTTTGTAGAAAAAATTAGATAATGATATAGTCCACCGTTTACAAAGTATAGATCAAAGAATGTCTATACTTTTAAATTTGCATTTCCACTACGTTTTAAGTATGGGTGCCGTATTTGCCTTATTTAGTGGATGATACTTCTGAATACCTAAAATTTTAGGGTTAGATTATAACTTACTATATTCTAAAGCTCATTTCTGAGTTTTATTCACAGGGGTTAGGTTAAATGGAAGAAGTTTTGAGTTTAAAAACGCATGTAATAGATATATTTCAAATGGGAGTCCTAATAAGGGTAGTTCACCAAATAATTTGTCATCTGTTTTAAAGACCTTAAGGAAAGTAAAAGAAAAATTTACAAAGAGCTAAAAAACAAATCTGGAGTATACTTATTTATCAATGACGTAACCAATGATTTGTATGTAGGTAGTAGTCTTAATTTATCTAAAAGAATGGTTAGTCATTTTTATTACGCTAATTCTTATAAAATTGATACAACAATACTCATAAGAGCAATGAAGAAATATGGACTTAATAACTTTTCTTTAGGTATATTGGTATTTTGTGAAAAAGACGCAATAGAATGTGTAAAGCTAGAACAAAAGTGAATCGATCATTACGAGCCAAGTTATAACATATTAAATATTGCAGGAAGCTCTTTCGGATTTACTCATAGTATTGATACCATAAATAAGTTAAAGGAAACTTTGAGAAAAGAGAATCATCCTAAGTTTGGATATACTACTTCAGATGAGACCAAAAATGCTATTAGCGAAGGTATAAAGGAATTTTATTTAAAAAATGATAATGCCTTTAAAGGTTTAAAAGGTAAATTATCTCCTCAGTATGATATAGGAGGAGCCCTAGTTTTTTGTTATAATGAAAAGAATGAGGAATTAATATTCCCTTCTATAAATGCTGCTAGACAACATTTTAAAGTAAGATGGACATTAATTAAAATGAACTTAGACACAAATAAATATACACCCATAAAAGACGAAAATTGAATATTACAATCTTTACCGCGTAATGAAACTCAAAATTAATAAATTAGCCCCTACCAATCTTTCTATATGCTGGGAACTCTCACAAGGCTTAAGTACTAAACCAGTAGATGGTCTAAAAATCTTAAGTATATCTAGACAATCAGCAGGAAACCAAAATAATTGTAATTATGAGTAGGATCCTCAGAGACTACACGAAAGAGGCCATATATTTATGGTCAAGATATAGTCCGGTTTTTAAACGTAATTTAACTTTCTTCCCTCAACATTTCTTAGGATTACAAGGTATGCCACGTAGAATTAGTGATTACCCTGACGCCTTTACAGGTTGAAACTTTATTAGTAGTATTGGTTCACTTATCTCTGTTGCTGCTACTGTGTTATTCTTACACATAGTGTACTTACAACTTGTTAAAGGGAAAGCTATATTTGGTTACCCTTGAGCGGTTCCTCAACTATTTAGTGATTACTTAAGAATACTTAAAGATAAATGTGCTCCAGGGTTAGAGTGAGCATTAAGTAATCCACCTAAACCTCATGCATTTACTAGCTTACCATTACAAAGTAGTACAATCCTATCTTCTGTTATTGCAGCAGTAATCACTTTATTTGCTGTTTCTAGCGAATTTTTATGTGATGCACCTAGAGCGTGAGGACTATATTTCCAAGATAGTGCTAGTCCACAAATGGAAGCTTTAATAGAATTACATGATAACATTATGTATTACTTAGTTGCTATTTTATTTAGTGTTGGTTGAATACAAGGAGCTATTATAAAAAATTTTGATAGCGCTAAATCACCTATAAGTAACAAATACCTTAATCACGGTACATTAATAGAATTAATTTGAACAATTACTCCTGCTTTAATCTTAGTATTAATTGCTTTCCCTTCTTTCAAACTATTATACTTAATGGATGAAGTTACTGATCCCTCATTATCTGTATTAGCAGAAGGACACCAATGATACTGAAGCTACGAGTACCCAGACTTCTTAAACAGTGATGGAGATTTTGTAGAATTTGATTCTTACCTAGTACCTGAATCTGACTTAGAAGAAGGTGCTTTAAGAATGTTAGAAGTAGATAATAGAGTTATTCTTCCTGAAATTACACACACTAGATTTATTCTTACTGCTGCGGATGTTATCCACTCATTTGCTATCCCAGCATTAGGTGTTAAATGTGACGCATACCCTGGTAGATTAAACCAATTCTCTGTTTTAATTAACAGATTAGGTACATTTTATGGTCAATGTTCAGAAATATGTGGTATCTTACACAGTTCTATGCCTATTGTTGTAGAATCTGTATCTTTAGAAAAATTCCTATCATGATTACAAGAGCAATAGTAAAAACACTGTTTTTAATAAATATTTTGTAAACAAAAAGTTATTTTTTGTTACTTTACTTGCTACGCAAATTAACTAATTTGTACAGCAAATC